ATATATATATAAAATATGTATACTTAGCGACTTATTAAAAATCAAAGATGGGAAGCAACTCGTTACTTTTAATGAAGTTACAATTATTTTTCTTCAGTAACTGTAACTTCATTACTTTTTTCTGTAATCTGTAATTGTAACTTTAACTTAACTTACACCTTTTAACTTATAACTAATTTAATGGTTACTTTTATAGTTACTTTATATATTCAAATTTATTTGTCAATTTAATGTGCAGTCCATTTGGCGTTACAAATCGCTTCGAGACATTTGATTGACCAATGAAATTGAAAGAAGAATGAAATTTATTAATTCGTCAATCAAAGAATGCTTCAAAATATTTGTAATATCAAGTAGACCGTACTCATATGTGATTGATTATGGCTGCGTTTATATTCATTCTGCTAGTGCTGGAGCTAGTATGGGCTCCTTTTCTTAAAAAGAAACGTAAAACTAAGGAAATATTATAAGTGAAAAATTCTCCAATTTATGAAGAATTCGGCAATTAAGACGATTTTTTTCATTTTAACCAGCAAACAAAAAATCGAATCTTTACAAAAAGAATTGCATCATTAATTTTTTGAAGTCCAATAGTTCCAATGTTGATATGTTAAATGATTGTTACAGAATAAAAAAATTATTCTTTAAATATAATACGACACTTTTAGTGACAGTAAACAAATAGTGCTTCTGTTGAATGAATGTTCAGCATTAGTGATTCCAAATAACGCCAAAGAAAAAGTGATATTTACATGATGATACAATTGAATACAATTGATACAATCAAATTCTGTTAAAAATTAATAAGAATTTTTAATAACATTTTGTATTAGAAAATCTATAAGCTAGAATTTATTTGCAACTTTTAGCCGAATATAACATGAAGAATTTTGTTATAAAAAACATTGTCATATGCTATATAATTTTATATTCATACGTATTTATATTACTTTCAAGAGAAACATCTTTGCCATACAATGTTCTTATTTTTTTGAATAAAATTGTATAACATGTAAATGTAAACCAGTTTTTTCTTCTAATGGCTTCATGTATTATCCTTGTTTAATATTAAGTGAATGACAAGGATAAAACGATATATGGAGGCACTCGGTTTCTGAACGCAGCCTTAACAGTATCGATGTTACTCGTTCTACTGAAATTCTGATGAAAAAAAAAGTAACTGAAAGTTACGTTTTCAGTAACTGTAATTGATTATGAGTTATTTTTCAGAGTCAATCATTTGTAACGATAATTTTTGAGAAAAAAAACTGTAACTGTAACTAATTATTTTTACAAAATAACTTTCCCTATTACGAACTGCTTCTCTCTTTTCTTTCATCATTTTCATTAAATTTATTGAAAATTAATTGAGCTCCATATAAAACTGGTCAATTTATGCTTCGATTTATAAGTTGAAAAGATTTTGAAAATTGTAAATAAAAGGAATATAAGCTAGGGGAAAGTAATCGATATTAATATAAGTCCTCTCTCCTAAAAAGATATTCTCTTATTTCTCGAAAACTGAATATTGTACTTTATTAATACTGATAAAAACATGATTTGTATAAATGATTAAAAAAATAAAAATGGCGAAAAAAAATGTTTACGAAAAAGTATAGAAAAACTACATAGACTGGGACAAGATCTTAGAAATTCTTAATTTTTCATAAATATTTATAGTGAAATGTAGAGTGGCGTTATTTATTTGAAAAAGAAAGGAATCTTTATGTCCCCTACGAATATCTATGAAAATTTTAAAAAATTTTCCGTCAGGATCATAATGTCACTGTTGCGTTATATGTATATTTGCGTCTTACAAAACAGTAGATATAAGAGAAGATATATAAAGTATGCTTATAAATCAATAAAATTCTTATATCGAAGTAAAAGATTCTAAAAAAATCTTGTAGAATTTCACTTGTAGGTATTTTGTATAGATAATTCCTACGAAAAAGAAAGGAATATGTAATATTACTGCCTATTGTGTCAATTTTAGAGCCCATTTTATCAAACGCTCATTTTTTTACATCTTATAAAAATTTTATTATTGCAAACTGTATCATAAAAATTGTTATTATCTGACAGATGGTACTTTCTAGTTTGTATTTATGTTTCTAAAGTTTTATTTTTAACTCTGTTTAAGAAATATTGTTCAAAAATAAAATGGTGTGTTAATATCGGTGACCTTCCTCTAATATTGTAACATCTTTCAATAATAACAAATGAATCATAAATTTTTTAATTTAAATTCGTGAACGAAAATAGGTTGTCAAAACGTGAAATAAATCTTATGGCGCCAATATGGAGGTTTTTTTGCTACGAAGATAAAAAGTAATAAGAATTAACAAATAGAACAGGCCTGTCCAAAGTTTTATTCAGACGTTTTCCCCCCTTTATTGTTTCGTCGAGAGAGATAAAAAGACAATATTTTGAAACTAAAATTGATCTTAGTAAATTCCAGTCAATTTTTGCGCATGGATCATTACGTAGGATATGTGTGCTACATCAGATTCAACTATAATATTAGCTTCTTCTGTACTTACTATTACGCATAGGGGCAAGCTCTTTCGTTAGACAGGCCTAAAAAATATTTTAACCTTATATATTCCATTTTCACTATAAATCGAACTTATGTATTAGCTTCTTAAATTTTAAGAAATACAAAAAAAATATCTCAATGAGGCGCACGCTTTTATTCTTCGAAATTTTCCTATACTATAAAACTATAAAAGATAAATTAACGTTTTAAATTTCTAATTGTAATCTAATTGTAAATAATATTTAATGTTACTTGAAAATTTATTTGATAATAAAGTCACATATTTTTATGAAATAAGAGAAACTTAAATAAATCTAAGATAGATCGGTCACATTAACATATAATTCACGCATTATCCTTATCTATTTATCTAAGGCGCATAAGCATGACGCACTTTATGTAATTGCGCGGAGACAATGATTTTTTTTCAACTTTTATCATCGTTAACAGATGAGTGTGCCAGAGAGAGTGTCAATGAAGGTTTGGTAAACGTCATTTTACAGTATTTTTTTTCGTGTCTTTTGAGACTGTCGATCCTCGAGAAATGCTTTCCGCATTCCTCGCAGACGAGCGGGGTGGTAACCTTCTCTCTCACTTGCTTTTTCTTACGGTCCGAAGACAGTTGATTGGAAACAGTCACGAACTCGAAGCAGCCTCCTTCTTTGAGCTCCTGCTTTACGAACGGTTCAACTAACCAATCGGACAGTTCATCATTGCTGTCTATAAAAAAAAAGAAAAAAGAAACATTCGTTAACTTTACGTTTTGATCAGCTGAAAATTCGTGAAGACGAGAAAGAAATCATGAGAGAAGAGCCTTATAAGCGCATGCATTCAGATAGAGTGGTTGCGTGCGGATACGTTATCGACGAATTCGAAAAATACAACCACTCCATAATGAATCTCGAATGATTAATAAATGTGAAGTCACATAAGTGCAATGTTTATGAGAGATAAACAGGAAAATAATAGTATCGCAGCATGATGTTCAAACATTACTTTTTTCAGTAATATTATTTTATTGACAGACTCGAAAGATAGACAATTATACAATAAATACTCGCTTTATTAATACTTTATATTTTTATAACGGCAATTGATAATATATAATAATGTTTTTCTTACAATACAAATACAATGTGACAATGTAATAATATGAAACAGATTATATAAAGAAAATTAGCAAAATAACTTCTTTACTATCAGTATCTCTTTATCAGAACACATTTTGTAATCAGAACGCAAATTTCTTCATTTCGGTAATGACTAGAAGATACATGTTGTTTCATATTATACAATTCGTTACATAATTCATAATACGATTAGTATAATCGTAAAAAATACAATAAATAAAGAATAATGGAATAAGAAAAACCTAATGTCTATATTTCTATTCAATAAAAAAAATACTTATTACGCGAGGATTGATTATACTTTGAGTTCATACTGAATTGACGATCGGTCAATTCATATCAATTTATTAATATTGTATGACACAATATCATATA